TCTTTAGCGCTGAGGCCTCTGCTGCTGAAAACATGTTTCTTGTCTTTGTTTACCGTCTGTATTTGATACAATGTTGCGGTCCGGCTGGCTGAAGCTCCGCTGAGTAAAGCAGCTTTGTGGGTTTTTTTTAGCTTCTTTATTCGCAACATAGTTGCTTAACGTTGCAGCTGAGAGGCGGGCAAGTCAGGCGGGGAAAGTTGGAGGGGAAAGTTGGAGTTCTCTGTCACTGAAGCAAGCAAGCTGCCCTGTTCGCACCAGCTGCCTGGCTGCTGCCCGCCATCTTGTCTGCCAGTTAATTTGCATATCTCGGCCCTTCTCTGTGAGTGACAGGGATTAGCCAATGGGAAGGGTATCGGTCGTACGCCAATTACCATGTTTCTCTTTTACCAGTGTAGATATATAAAATTTTCATCCCCGGTCTCTGTAATATGTTTAAACTAGAATGTATATTGATTCCATTTTAGATCTTTGGTGTTGATTCTGTTATCATCAAAATCTATTCAGAAGTACATTTTCTTAATATACTTTTTCCTGTTCTTTTTTTCTTTTCATACTTTACTCTTTGTTTCTTTTTGTATACTTGAACTTACCTGTGCTCTGAGGTGTGCTGAGTAAATCTCCTTTCCCATAGCTGCCCCAAATGTTTTCTTTCCCCTCCTCCCCCCTTCCTCCCCACACTAGAACCCAGTTCATTCTCTTAGGATGTTTTGTGATAAGTTTCGTGTGGGTCAGGGTCATACATCTATGACATGAGGCTGTATATATCAAAAGAAGTTTTATTTCAAGCATCTGGGTGCTGACGGGCTGAGTCCGAGAAAGGAGTCAGCGGCGACTGAAGGGAGAGTCAAGCTTTTTATCCGCTTCTGTTGGTGGTGGGCAGTTTTTGTTGATGCACAGAGCTTGACTGGTGGGTCTGGTCTTTGGTTATCTAGGCTTTGCGGAGCTCAAGACTGCAAGCTTTTGGCAAGATATCTGCTAAGCACAATAAGTTTACTCTGCCCGTTTTATTTTCTTTAACCCTTTCACTTTGGTTTTTGGATCCTGGAGTGAAACAGCCTGTATTTCTTTATATACAGCTGTGTATAAATAAATAGATTTAGAATGACTGTCTCCTCTTGAATCTACTAAATATTTATTGAATTTACTAAATATTTATTGACCTTTCTATATGGTTTACATTGTTATGAACAAGATGAAGAAAATATATTTACCCTTGCTTGGAAGGAATGTTATGAGTTAGTAGATCAGTTAGTCTTAAGAGAAAAAAGTGGCTCTGCCTTCTCTTTTTTATTCTGAATTTTAGACAGTTTTTCATTAGTTTATTTGAGTGTTTTTTTGCATACACGTGCTGTTTTGTTTCTCACAGTTAGAGAAATGTAATACAGATATCATTATGTCTTTCAGAATTTAAACAAACAAGCATATGATTTGGCAAAGGCTTTACTGAAGAGGACAGCTCAAGCTATTGAACCATACATTACCAATGTAAGTCTTACTGTAACGAGGTGTCCACATAATCAGCCAACATTTTAAAGACTGAGAGAAGCCATTTTTGACAAGTAGTACATACTTTTAAATTTTGTGTTCTTTTAATTACTAAGTAATGTATTTTCTTTCTCCTTATTTAAAATTATTCTTGGTTAATATTTTCTAGAAGGTTAATGCTCTTCTTGTTTGTTCATTCTGTGCTTCTTTCAGATTGCCTAGGAACTAAAACAGCATTAATTTGGTTAGCAAGATATACTGTTTTCTAGTGTTAGACAAAGAATTAAATGTAATTAGATAAAACATATGGAACTTTTCATTATTCAGAGAAATTGTTTACAGCTTTTTGGAGATTAAATTGATGTGTACAAAAGGAAGATATAAACTAATATGAAGATCTAAAAATTGATGGCAAGTATGGATGGTATTGATTTGGTAAAAGTTGATTATCTTACCTTTCCTGGGTGAAATTCCATAAAAAGCTACCTTTTCTGAGAAAGGGGAAGAATTCCAATGAAATGAGCCCTTTCAAAATCACCCCAAATCTACTTATTTATGACTAGAGGCCTGATGCATGAAATTCATGCAAGAGTAGGCCTTTTTTACCCGCCCCCCGCCCCACTGCCTGCACTGGATTCCCTCTGGCACCTGGGATCCGGGCTTCCCTCAAAGCCCCAGCTTCATCTGGAAGGACCTCAAATCTAATTAGCATATTATACTTTTATTATTATAGATTGACAATCTTGTATTTGTTTTCAGATTAAATGTATTCCAACACATGGGTTCACTGATAGAAACTTACTGTATGTTTTATTTCTCCACAGTTCTGTGAGTTGTACAACTCTAGATGGGACTATTCATTGTATTTCATGTATTTCATTTGTTCTTTTTGGAACAAATCTAGAACATTGTATAGCAGTTCTGTCTCTCCATCTACTTTGTGCTTTCACTACCTTCAAACATGTAAATGATGTAAATCTTTCTTTTTGAAAAAAGTGAGAAAGAAAGCTTTTTATAATTACTTATGTATTTAATTTTACTGAAATTGATTGGAGACTTTTTCTTGTACTATACAAAAATTAATTCAGTATATAAGCTACATCATGAAAAGATGCAGATCCCAATTTTTGTTTCTGACTATGGTCTTAAATGATTCTAAGCACATGATGATTAGGAAAAACGTACTTGATTTATAAATTGTTTTAGAGGGTAAACTTTCAGAAGCTGGAGAATCAAATTATGTAACTTATATTAATAGCTCCAAGATTGACAGGGAACTCTAAATGTTGATTTCTGTAACTTTTATATAAGTCTTGGGGAGTATATTGGTTAAATTGGGTGGTTTGAATTTTTTCTTTATTGAGTTAATGGTATTTGAAGTGTGTAGAACAGACTTAAGCATTCTTTTGCCATGGCCCATTAGATACACTAGGTGAGCCCCTCCTGGTGATTACTTATTTAAATTAGTATTGCCAAGCTTGGGTGTTTTTTAGGGAAACACAATTTTCTTTTTCTGGCATAAAAAGAAGAAAATAACGCCATACCATGTTAATATCTTTTCTAGGGTTGGATAATCAAAGAAAAAAGTTTCAAGATAGAATAGTAGTATTGGTTGGAGCCAGGTTACTGGGTTCCTTATAATATACTTTCAACATTTGTGCATATTTGAAAATATTATAATAAAATTTAAAAGGAAAATAAAAGGACTAAGATAGAACTTTTAGCCATCCCAGATAAATCAATGTAAGGACATTTTCTTAATTACTTATACCTTATGTTATATTCCTGCTCTTAGTTCTTGTCTGCAAAAGTAGAATCCCCCCATCCATACTTTCTTGTTATATCTTTATCAGAAGCTGAGGAACAGAATTAGTAGAATGGTCTTAGAACACTTTCAGTTACATATTTATTCCAAGTACTTTGTTATCTCTCTTTCTCCTGTTTTCTTATCCCTTGTTTTATTTGAGGATTAGCTGAGAAGTTAAGAATTACTGTTTTTTTTCTTTTTTTTGTAAGATTTTTTTTTCTGCCTCACACCTATATATGTAAAATTACTAGAATTCTAGTGAATTTAATTATCTTGTAGTAGGATAAAATGAGTATAGTTTTAAAAATTATTCTTAAGCTTTTGAACTTGTATATGTAATAGCCATTATTTATTTACCTTCCTGGTTGAAAATTAGCAAAAATAGAGGTAGGATACTAAGATAATAATAAACCCACTTCTATTCGTTTTTTATTTTTGTCCTTTTCACTCTTATGTATAGACACATTCACTTTTGTTCTTTATAGATAGTGATTTCTGCATATGTAAGACTTAAGAAATTACTGTGGTATTATAGATTATTTTTTAAAATAAATGTAACTTGATGACTCAGAATTCTAACTAAAAAGTATATATATATTTTTAAATTAATATATATATTAATTTATAT